CATCAAGATAAAAAGCTTTTGCACAGCAAAAGAAACAGTCAACAAAACTAAAAGACAACCGACAGAATGGGAGAAGATATTTAGGAATGCTTTATATTTATTTCTGTATACCTTTTAATGTTTATTGCTACTGTAAATGGAATCTACTTTGTAATAGACTTTCTAATGTGTTCCCATTCATATTTTCTTTAATACTAGCCTTGTTTCCCACAGCCCTGCTATATTATTATTATTTTTGAGCAGTTTTGAGCAGATTCAGCATTACTAGTCAATTATTAATTGCAAATAAATTATAAGTGTACTAATAGAAAGTGATTAAAATATAGTTCTATTAGAACAAGAGCTGCTTTTTAATCACGAATTTTATTACTCTTTATTACTGGTTAGCATATTAGTGTTTATTTTTATTCTTTTGAAAAAAAATCTTTTCATTTGGATATAATGTCAAACTTAAAAGAGAAGTTGCAAGAACAAAATAATACAAAGAACATGCACAGGCTTTTCCTGGACTCCTTTATTGTTAACAGTAGAAACCTCATTTGTTTTATTTTTTCTGTTTGTTCTCTCTCTCTCCTATCTGTACACAGATATAGATAAACATATATATCCACATGTACATGGGACTGTTTCTGAATCATTTGAGGGCCCTTTTCCCTTAAATACTAAATGATTTTCCCTTAAGAGCAGTGTACTTTCCCTGAGAATGAGAACATTCTTTTATGTAACAACAGTTCAGTTACCAACTTCTGCAAATTTAACATTTATAAACTTTTAACTAATCTCCCATTCATATTCCAATGTTTCCAATTTATCCAACAAGGCTCTTTATAACATTTTCCCCCTCCACAATGGGATTCAGGGTAGGGTCAGATATTAAATTTAGTTGATATGTCTTTAGTCTACCTTAATCTGGAAACTTTTCCATACTATTTATCTTTTGTAACATCAACATCTTTAAAAAAAAAACAAAAAACAGTCTTTTCCCTCCCCCATTTTTTTAAATAGAAAGCTCATCATTCTGGATGTGTCTGATGTTTCCCCATGATTAGATTCAGGTTATGCATTCTCTGCTGATATACTCCATGGGTGATGATGTGTTCTCAGGATATCACCTCTGGAGTCGCATGATGTTCATGCATCCCCTCACTGCTGATGTTGATTTTGATCACACAGTCACAGTGTTGTCCAATTCTTTCACTATATAGTTACAGACAAAACACACATATACATACATAAACATTTACACATAGTTGTACATATGTGCATACTTATGTATATTTTAAAAATCCTAAGTTCATACAGATACATCTAATTCCAACCCATCCCCAAAGGTTTCCTTCTGCCTTTTCCCATCGATTTTTGTCTTTCTCCTCTAACCAGGTCAACACATTTACTCATATACTAAATCCTATAGCATATCTATTATAGTTTTGGGACTATTTTATCCACACTACTATAATAAACAAATCTACAGACAGATTTCAGGATTTGTTTGCAATTCTCCCTCCCTGCTCTGCCATCCATGAATGGGGTATACAGTTAAAAACTGTGTTTATATCCTACTTGGATACATGTTTTTCTCTCTCTTTAGTGCAGTTAAGGTATTCATTTGAAATATGGTGGGTTCATTGATTTAAATGTGCTTTCAGTTCTTATTTTTATTTAATATGTAGAATGTTAATATCCTTCCAAAAGTTCAAGTTATACAAAAACGTTCTCAAAGAAGTGTCTCTCCCTCCCATATCCTATCCACCCCATTCCACCTCTTTAGAGGTAACCAACCTCACTGTTTTCTGATCTATTCTTCCTGGGTTTCTT